AGGAATGAGACAACGAAACACGGGCGATCTCTATCTCTTGTCGCCACCTACGCTGCTCGCAACTCACCCTCTTTCTCTGCTCGAGGTCTGGCAGAGCATCCGCATTTGTGGCCATCTCTGCCTTGAGCACATCCTTCCTCTCGTCGAGGGCAGCCACGGCCCGCCCTTTCAGCTCGTACCGGGATCGCGCGCCCTCTACCTACGCAGTCAAAAGGCGGGCAAACATTGTTTGCAGTGGGTTTTTTCCATTTGTTGCTGTTGGTTGTAGATTTCCGGGTCGGTGTTAATGTGGCTGCTATTGTTGCTGTTGTCGTTTTTGCCCCCTCCATGTGCGGTCGCACGGGGGGACAATTCACGGGTGTTCTGTTGATGCAGGTCTCACAACACTGCTCTAGTCCCACGACAAGTAATGTTCACGTCGACACGGCAAGCACGCCGTGTCATGTTGGCATTGGACGACGTCCAACCGTGAAAGGCTTTTCGGAAATCCACTGGGTGAAATTCATTCGGCACAGCCAAGCGGTGTTTGTCTTCTTCCTCAAGTTTGCCGGGGCGGGCTACCTCGGAACGCAATCGCGAGAAATGAAGTTGATGATATGAGGAAACGGAACAGGGAAGGGGTACGCAGACCCTATCCCTAACCCAAATCCCCCGGTTGCATGTGTCTTCCAACATATTTTCGTGATAGAAAAAATCCTGCGGAGGCTATACTGGTTACCTCCGACCGAAGCGCCACCAGAGCGTCGTCCCGAGCATCGTTCCGCGAATCTTCGTCGCCGGTCTCCGCGCCGTTCTTCTCGTCTGCAGGGACCCTTCCGGTTCGCGACTCGGACGTCCAGTGCTTCGACAGGGTCGACTGCGTGCGGTCGCGGGAGAGGGGGCCGTTTCGCGATGGAAACAGGCGGTACTTTTGTGAAAAAAAAAAAAGACGACAGAAAAGCTCACAGAAAAAATGAATCCTTCTACAAGACACATAAAACACATGTATGTTAAAAGCAAGACAATCAGCCCCTTTTTAGTACGCTGAACAAAACGAGAAAAGAAGTTAACAAAGGAATTAAAGAATAACATGGCTCCTCTTGCGGTGTGTTACTCGGGCTTCCCAACATGGTCAGAACCGACTGCTACGTCTTGGTCGGACAAGAAAAAAGCGACTACTTGTACAGCAGTACGTAAAAGCGAGGCGTTTTGCTCTTTGGAGGGGGGGGGCAGCAGGTGTCGGCGAACGCGCAAGGCTGCTACATGGGTCGACGTCCAGGCATGGGTGCACCTCTACCACAACTAGAGGGGACCCGGGGGCCGGCAAACAACACAGCAAGCAACACAATTTCTGTGCGGTTCTCATTTGTAAAAGTGCGGTCGGTGGAACAGGCGGAGAAGTAGGTAGGACCCCAAGAAGTAGGTAGGCAAGATATCAGTAGGTAGGACCCCAAGATATCATGGGCCCCAAGAAGTAGATAGGACCCCACGACATCATGCGCCCCTTGCCATCCACCGCGACCCCGATTTCGAAGGTCGATCAACCCCCTCCTTGTCGATCGAAACACAGTAGGAGGTACGCGCGGAACGCACGTGGTGCTACTTGCATACGACGCCAACGGCGAGCACTGTCGGTACTGCGACTCCTGCCTGGCGATCGGAGAATAATGGGAGATGCGCGCAGAGCACAGGTGGCACTACATCACCACATACAACCCACCGTAAGTTGCATAAGATACCACACTCCCCGAGACGATTTTCAAAGCTTGATTGCACTCGACAAAGGAAAGCAGTGGCGGTGCCGAAAATGGCGGCGTTGGAACCGTCTCGTCCAGAGGTTTCCCAAAACGTTTTATTCAATTTCGGCGTCCTCTCCGTCGTGGAGTGATCGAGCTTTGATAATCGGTTCCTCAACGAACAAAAAAGAAGAAAAAGAAGAGCTTCCTAGCCTGTATACAGCTGTCTTTTCGTGCAGTGGTGGTCCCGATACCGTAGGTGACATGACGTAAGATATCACACCCCCTGGACCGATTTTCGAAGCTCGATATCTCGGCAGGAAAAAGCAGTGGCGGTGCCGAAAATGGCGGCGTTGGAACCGTCTCGTCGATAGCTTTCCGAACACGTATCGTTTGCCTTCGGCATCTTCTTGGTCGTGGAGTACCGTGAGCTTGCGAGTCAGCTATTATAGAGCACAGAGACAGGGGTGCGCACTATTTTTCAAAGCGTAATTTCTCCACAACCGGGAGGTTACCACTGTCGAAGAGGGCGGTTTTGGAAATATCTCATGGAGAGCTTTCCTGACAAGTATCAGTTGGCGCTTGCACCCTTCTGCTTGTGGAGAAATGACGCTTTGAAGATCGATCGCACCCTTGTCCCTGTGCTCTAGCTGACTCCCAACCTTGCGGCAATCGAGAATCGAGAACTGAGAATTGAAAATTGAAAATCGGTCCAGAAGGTGCGGTATCTTATGCAACTTACGGCAACCCAACCCTGTACACACAACGGACGGGGGGGTACAACGCGTACATGAAATGGAAAGGTTGTTACGCGTGCTTCGAATGTACGCACCAATCAATAGCAAAGCGAATATTCACACACGCCCTCCACCTCCTACCTGGAGTATTTCAGCGAGCTTGACATCCTCCGCGATTCCTTCCACGGCGTCCATCAAACCCTGCTGCTCCTTCGTCGCCTGGAAGACGGCAGATTATACAGTGCGTACATCGGAAGGCAAATGACACCCTAGCAGTGAGGTGTGACGTTCATTGCTGTAGTGTTGCAAGGATTGTAACGTCAAGGATTTGTAATTGTAACGTCATGGGTTCATACTGTGCCAACGATTAGAATGTGTACAACTGAAGCAACATAATCTCTCGGAAAACAACAATAAAAACAATAACGCGAAGATAACAACGTCAACAACAACATCACCTGTTCCATCAGTTCCCGGTGGCGGTCCCTGTCCCCCTGCAGCGACGCCTCTTCCGTCTGACAGTCCTGTCGAGACACCTCCACAAGCCGCTCCCTCTCGCGCAGCCGCTGAAGCTGCCGTTCAAACTTGCCCCGCACGGCCGTGATGCGACCCTCCGCCTCGTCTAGACCTACCAGCACCTGCCACAGAACAACAGCAAGACTGTGTAAGACTGTATACAGATTATATATTTCTTTTTTTGGCTTGTGTAACGACAGAAGACCACGTGTGGCGAATCTCATCAAGACGAGAAGCCTGGCCATCGAGGCGGCGCCTTCTGGTGTGGTCAGACTTGACGGCGGATGCCCAAGCTTCCGAGTAGGCAAACGGGCCACAGACCCGCGGGCGGACAGGACAGCAGAGAGGCCTCAGCGTAACGGCTGTGGCGGCCACGTCAACAAGACAGCAGGTTTTCTTGGAGTCGAGGTCTTTGATGTTGTTGTCATTGTCGACGTAGGGCGGGACTCCGAATACTCCGACTCAAAGGAACCGCCCACTGTACACAGCAGTCATTCTTTCTCCTTGGAGTCGGAGAATAGGGAGTCCTGCCCTGTGTCGACCATCACAACGACAACATCGGCAGCGCTAGCTCCGAGGAAACTCCCCTAACGAACGGTCGCCTTTTCTAGGCAAGCGATGGTTTTACCTCCTTGGTCGAAAAATTGTCTTAGGAGTTGTCTCTGGTCTCCCTGCAGACATTAAAATATACGATTCTGTGCTGCATGTATCACGACACAAGATGATATTTCTTGTGTTCTAGTGCACACTTGGGTGATATACGCCATGCCTACGTTCAGTTATTCCGCGTGTGAATATAAAGCGAGAATATTTCTCTGTCTTGGGGACCAGGAGGATGTTGCGAAGGCACTCTCTCTGGGTAGAGGTCAGAACGGTCTTCTCAGGCAAACAAACAACCACAAATATCATCATCAACGACGACAACAACGACAACAACGACAACATAGTTAACCCCAACTACACCCCACCCACCTCTCTCAGGGCTCCTCTCTTAGCCTCAAGCTGCGCTTCTAAGTCCTTGACCTCGCCTTCGAGCTCCATCCGCATCAGCCGAAGCTTCGACATGCGCTCGTCCTCCCCTCCTGTCTGATCGGAGATGGCTTTCTCTGTCTGAGACAGCTCCTCCTGCAGAAAACAACGGGTTTTCCAAAACATTGGCACAGCGGCACAAAACAGGTGCGACCCCATATCATATCGCTTATGCGCATCCCCCCACCAAATCATACCGCTTATGCCCATCCTCCCCCCCCCCCCCCCCCCC